TAAGTACTGGACCACTTTCAAAAATTGTTGTTCTCATTAGTCACAGACACAAAAAACATGTGAAATTAGGTTGGAAATACCAAAGTTACCTTTGAAGTACAGCACTTTGTAAATGTTACTTTCCATCACTGCTGAACTGACTAAAACACCTTCAGCTCCTTGTGGTTCTCATAGCATCTATCTGTAGCTGCTGTGAACCTCCTTAAACTGAAAACAGACCTGCTGCTGTTGGCGCACATTGGGGTATAATTAAAGATGGGATATTTTTGGTGTGTGCTTTTTGGCACCCTCGTGGTTTTGCAGTCATACATAGCAGGTACTGCTGTGTACACCCCCGGTTTGTGCCACTATTAGAGCAGTTTGGATATGAAGGCTGAAAAGAGTGTGTATGTGTTCGTGTGTTCGTGTGTGTGTGTGTGTGTGTGTGTGTGTGTGTGTGTTCTGCAAATCTTGCCCAGATCTCAAGGCTTTGTAGAAAACTCAATATAATTGCTTTGTGTGATTAAAGAAGGAGAGTCTCAAATAAACGAATAGAGACAAAATGAGATTTTTAACTCTCTGCAATGTTAAAATCAATCGTCACAAACTCCCCGACACGCAGGATTTAGAGACAGCCGGTCTGAGTGGATAATTCCAAGCCTGCCCCCAACAGAGAGTGGCATTTATCACTCACACACATTCATTCGATGAATCACCCAGTCTATAAATTAATTCACAATCACACTCCTACCCGAGACTACCTTCAGCATGTCAATGGGGCCTAAAGGAAGTGACTCACTGGTTATGATTCACAGGCAAGTGCTTTAAGAGGAACAGGAAGGATCCAAGCTTTTCTGATGGTTAATTTAGTGCCAGATTCAGGCCAAACAAAACATTCATGATTACAGAAATGTGCCCGCAAGGTTTACGTTTCTCTAGTTGATAACTGCTGTGTAAAATTATCCCAGAATTAAAAATAAACTGATGCCTGCTCTGTCTGTGTTCCCTTTAGGTCTGCCTGAGAGCTGAAACAAGGGAATTCAGTGTTTCTCAGAAAAAGACATCTCCAAATGAAGATACAGACATTTACCGCTTCACTGGGAAAAAAATCATCCTGTCACTTTCTCAAAGTGTCTTTTTAATTTAAGAAACAGGTCCATTTAGTAGCTGTTAAGTAGCTCTTGATCTTCGTCATCACATGAGGTTAGCTCTGTTTTCATTGTTGTAATTGTTGATCTGGTTTTTTTCTTTTTTTTGAGCACTTGGAAGGATTTATCAGTCATGCTGGATTAAAAGATGAGGTTCAAATGCACACGAGTTGACAAATTAATCTCACCACAAAGTTCATTCAGAGAGAAGATCCTTATCACCAGATAAAAGTTTGTTGTTTTATAAGTCAACACATCATGGGACATCATGGAAACACAGTCTGCTGATGAAGACTGTGTAATACTATCAACAGCTCCAACTCAGCCACTAAATGAACGGAGCTGGAGCTGAACATGACTTTTCTTTTCTTTCCTTTCCTTTTTTTCATAATTTAAAGTAGGTAAAATCTTATCTCACTGCAGAGCTACATGTAGTGTATTGCTTCCAGGCCCCGAGAAAGTTCACAGGCTGTGAAGTCAATTTTTGTAGTGGCCAGACAGTGGAATTACACCGTCATATGATGCTCTGTGGCCTAAAAACACCTTTTCCCTTTGACTTACATGGCAAAAGAGACATCTGTAAATCAGTGGATACTTTTTTTCAAGCATCACAACGTCTGTGATATAACTCTTTCTACTTTCTGGATTCGATCTATTTGGTCTGATAACATTTGGAAATTCTAGAGGAGCTGCACAATTAAATCATTTTATCACTATTCAAGTTAGCGGAGCATTAAACAAGAAGTAGTTTCACAGCTGGCAGAAGTCTCTAGTGCACCTGCTTAATGGGCCACACAGTGCGGAAGCAGTGCCGATCATTCTGATAATTTTATACACAGCAGTTGAACTTTTATGGCTTCATGCACCACTGAGCAACTTTCACAGGAAGATTTTCTGCCCACCTGATCTCTTGTAGCTCTGTTTTGGTCACTACCAGTTCTTGAGGAATACACTGTATTTGGTTTATAGTTGCAAAATGCTTCAGCAGCTAGTCTAAAGCCCTGCGCATACTGTACTAAATTTGTTCTTTTTCTTGAGGTGGCAATAACAAGAACAAAGTTCGTTTTGGCCAGGACATTTCATACTTCACGAGAAACTCAAGTGCAGAACTCCAGGGAAATCCTCATAGGCCCCTCCCGCTGCCGCATAAGTCACACACGCTTTTCCGCATTAACCACGCCCACTTCAAATACTGACCAATCACACAACATTTCTCGGACACCACACAAGAAAAAAGTTCTGCCCAGATGATGTGTCAGCTGCAAGAACTCCCAAACCAGGGCTCTTTACAAATTTCTCTGTTCTTGCGGAGTATTAAAGGCCTTAACTGTGTCTGTCTGCTGTTTGGTGCTGAGCAGGTAGTGTACAGTAGGATTTTAGGGCTTTTCCACTAAACAAAGCTGCCTGCTGCAGCCCGAAAAAGACGCTTTGAGGGTGGTGAGATTGAACCAAAACAGTTAAGTTGAGCGGAGGTGGGGATAAAACAGGCTGAAGCTCACTATAAAGCTCTGTGAAGCTGCAGATTATGGTGAAAATTCTCTGTAGGTGTCACATGTCAGACATTTCTATTGTAAAAAATATTGATTATAGCTGCTTTAAATACACTGATAGTAAAAATACTGTAATTTTCCTATAAAATATCCAACAAATGTTAGTTTCTAATTGTAGAAACGTGATTGAAAGCTTCAGAATAGCAACTAAAAGGACTTTGAGATTCATTTGTCAACTAATGTTTTGAGGTCAAGGATAAACAAGGTCTTAAAATCATTTAGAAGTTGATTAGATTGTCACTTATTTCGCTTGGTGCTTCTGTGGGAATTCAATTATAATATAGTAATAGAAATAGAATAAGCTACATAGGAACAAATGCCCATAATCAAGCAAAAAATGCCCCAAACCTATTGGATACCAGCTACTGGCTGTTATTAACATGCATTTGTATTCTCACTGAGCTTTATGTCTCCAGCTGACCAGTTTTTTTTTTAATTGTTGTGACAGCAATTCAAAATCATATACAGCACCAAATGAAAAACATTATGACACTTTGGTAATTTTCTAAATACAGATGTTCAGTCATCCAAAGAGGGCGCAGGATAAAAAAACAAACCCTACTGCAGGTGTTGGCATTTCCTTATGAGTTTCTGCACACTGCAGACGTTCATGTGTGATGTTGTTGTGTACTCCCACTGTGTGCTATTCAGGTCGTGTTTATTCTGAGACTCTCTGCAGTTTTCCTCGCTGCTGTCCTCACACATTGTGGCGGGCTGCTTCCTGTTGCCTCATATCCTGTCCTTCAGACACAAACGTCCCCTCGGCTCATCAGGGAGTTCACAGTCAACAGCAGGAGAGGTCAGTCTGTTCCTCTTTTTTTTTCTTTTTTTTTTAAACGTCCTTGCCTCACTCACTGTGTTTCTCTCTCTCACACACACACAAATACTCCCTACTGTAGAGGCTTTTGTGGTGACAATGTCGGTCACTATGTTCCGGACTTAAATATTTCAACAACTACAGGATGGATTGCCATTAAATTTGGTATACACACATTCATGTCCCCCAAAGGATGAATTATAACAACTTGGTGATTCCCTGACATTTCCTGTAGTGCAATCATCAGGTCAAAAATTCACTTTGGTTTATGACCAAATTCCTGCACAACTAATCACATTTCCATCAGCTGTTCTTTGTGTTTCATGCTAATAAGTGTTAGCACACTGACACACTACATTGGATGGTGAACCTGGTAAACACAAGCAGCAACCTCCAAGGCTAAAAAATGAAGCCAACGCTCAAGGGCAAAAAACTGCAGTTTTCGAATGGCCACTTGGGGCTGGCTCTAAAAGCGAGTCAATCCCCATCTGCCCCCATGTTAAAATGGCCAGACTTTACTGCAGGAATAAACATGTTTACACCCTGGTTTTGGTCTCTATGGCTAATTTCAACATTCATGACAACTGTAGGGGGGGTGAATTTTTATGTAACTCACCCTTGTACATTTTATTAAGGCTCAAAGTTATGCATGTTTAAGAGCGGCTTTGAGGGACATGCTGTCTGCAAGGCATCACTCCAGTCTGTGAGTCAGATCCAGCCCTCACTCCTCCACAGCTCCACCCAAGATTTTAACCTCTGTCTCCAAAAATTCAAAATGACGATAGCCACAACGCCAATCTCAATGATTCAAAACAGGAGTACACAAACCAATGAGTGACATCAGAGTAGTTTCATCCACTATTTTTATACAGTCTATGGATAAAAATCACACCCCTTAATCGGCATGTTAGCATGCTGACGTTATCTCAAAGCACTGCTGTGACTAAGTGCAGCCTCACAAAGCCTAGACCTGCATTGTCTAGTTTGATCAGACACTGGTTCGTTTTCCCCGCTCAGTAGGTTTTGTTTGGGCAGATCTGAACACAGCAGTTGTACTCTTTTTTGGTTTTCCATTAGTAAAGTTTGTGGATAGTACCTGGTACTTATTTTGGTACCACCTCAGTGATACAGATTCCAGGTAAGCTGAGCTGTTGCTAGAAGGTGGAGTTAAAACTCTGCAGACCACTGATTGGTCAGAAAATAATGTTGCAGACATTGCACACAGCACAACTATGGCGATCAGCTGAGAATCCTACTTACACTGAGGAGACATTATCTGCAGTGGAAAATGAAATAGAGGAAAGGACCTGGTACCAAAAAAGAGTTGAGTCGAGTCAAGTCGAGCCAAGCCATGCAGATGAAATACAAGTTTGAGCCAGGTGCATATCGGTTTGCTTTGTTTCCATGTGTGTGTGAAATTAAACCGAACTAAGGAGAAAACACATCACGTTTACCAACTCCACTCCACTTTTTTTTCAACATATGTCTGCCTCTGTCGCTCCTCACCTGATGAAGTAACAGCAGAAGATGAGGCTCAGGATGAAGACAAAGATGCCTGTCCCGAAGATGACCATGTAGATGTTGAGCGGCAGGTCCTGGAAGGTGATGGGCGGCATGGTGCACGACTTGTTGGAGTAAACCAGTCCCAGACCACAGAAGCACCCTAAACAAAGACAGAGGGGAGATTTGAAAACACATTTCCAAGAAGATGGATGCCAGAGAAGGCAGAGAAATGACAGCCTGATGTCTAAAAGCCTATTAGGGCAAATGAGGCCTTGTCATTGTTGTACTTAAACATGTAAAACACTCTTAATGCAGTATCCAGGCAACCAGAATGTGTCTCCTATAACGTGGCGGATCCACACGTCTTTATCTGATTACAGGTCAGTGTCGTTTAAAGGCATTAACAGACAAGAACAGATAGACGAAATGATTATATTGGCTCAGCCCTCTTTTGTGGAATTAAAATTAAATATTTTGTGGATGAAATCTAGTTCACCAGTCTTGAGACTTAAAGCACACACACTCTGAGAACCGGTGAGTGCATTTTGATTAAAACGGCAGCATAAAATCTCTTTTTTTAAGATTGAGATATCTGTACTCTTGTACAGGGAGGTGAATCATTCAGAAACACTAACAATGACTGTTCTCTTGTCTCGAACTGAGTGCTTCTAGGAAAAACTTCGCTGCATACTCCAACCCAAACAGATGGTATTCCCATTAAAGGTGCCCCCCTTTTGTCTCATCCGAGTTGCTTCAACGCTACACTCCTGCGTGTGTTTGTTTTACCACAAAATAGATTATCACTGTAGCACTGCTGACTGCAGTCAAGGTCAGAGGTAGGGAGATGGGGGAGGGGGAGGATTGAAGAACAAATGTGGCTGTGATTGTTGCGCTGTGTGTACAGTTTACAATATTTGACAGGGTGTGGTTATTTATCTTGTATAAATAGAGTGAGAAGAACCATGAATTCCCAGATCACAAGAGAAACAGTTGTAGATTAGACGGACAAAGAGATACACAGAGCACACTTGTGTTTTGTGTGTCTGCATGAGTAATGAGAAGTCAGTATCTGCATGTGAGAGGGGGCTTTGTGAGATCGGGGTCACACTAACCCAGGGAGTGATAGTGAGTCGGCGCTAACACAGGACTCATCGCAGTCTGATATGAACCTCTCTCCGCATGATAACAGGAAGAGAAGGCCGAGAGAGTCTGCGAGTTTTCATTTTGATCAAACACTACAGCAGCTGATTGAGTGAGATCAGCCTGCGTATTGTTTAATGGAGAGATCCAGGCTCTTGAAAGCCGTGCGGCAGCTGCTTGTGTTATAGTGGAAACAAACTGTTCTGTATGAGATTTCACAGTGAAGAGCTTTGCCAGAAACAAATTCCCCAGCTTTATTCCTTTCTGTGTGAAGTTTGTGTGTCCTGTTTCTCTGCACCAGTTTCCTCCCACAGGCCAAAGACATGCAGGTCAGCTGGAGTGGAAAATCTAAATAAAGTAGGTGTGAGTGTGCCTGTCTGTCTATGTTTACTCGTCCTGAGACGAACTGGCAACCTCTCTACTTTGGGATGGATGGGTGAATAGATAGAGAGAGACAAATAGATAAATGGAAGGACAAGATGAAAGGATGGGACTACCTAAAGCCTTGGTATTTCACCTGGATGGGTGAGGTTTTGCAGGATGCAGCAGTGCACACTTTAGCGAGCTCTGTGACCGTCTCGACAGCCCAAGCTCTGAGTACATGTTCATACCCTATATCATAACCTTTGAGGCAAAGTTTGGGCTAGTTTTATCTCTAAAGCTTGAAAATTTAGGCAAACTAGACTGAATAATACACTCTACAAGTATTCCTGTATATTTGGTCTCACACCATAAACATGGACATTGATGGTCTGGCTTGTGAACCTGTTTGGGCTGGGCATCTATTGGTGAAGATATTACATCGACATCAGAATAGAGACTCCCTCATCCGAGTAGATTTTTGTTATTGGACATAATTTAGTTGTTCTAAATGTCAAAGCATTTTAACACTATTTAGTTGGACACATTTCTGGTATGATGTTATGATGCTCAATTTGAGAATTTTTTGGCAGTCAGGTTAAAGTCAGTTGAAAATCTGCAGGGAAGTCTAGTCATGGCTGCCAGCAGAACAAGGAGCAACAGTCTAGAAGTATCTTTGTAAATTCATGATCACAAAAATGACATTAAGTCATCTCTGTTTGGAGTTACAGTTAGTCATGAGGTCTTGAGCTGTAGGGAGGGTTGATGGTTCACATCCGAGGGAGGAAATATGAAACATGGGTGTGGAGTTGCAAGAAAGATGAGTATGTTTATGATGTCGTTGACTGGTTTGCAATTACGTGTATGTTCTCATGTACTGTATAGTTTTGCTGTCACCACTGAAGACTGCTTTGGAAATACGTGTTTTTAGTAATGCTTTCAAGTGCTATCTTCTGGGATTTTTTTCTGTCGTGATACTCCTGTGAGTTGTTGTACTTTTAAAGTTCCAGATAAAAATCAAATAAAATCAATTCTGTGGATTTAATCTTGAGGTAATGGGGAGACACTACAGGTGAATAGGATAAAACTCGTAACAAATATCACCATGAAACTTCCCCAGTTGATTACTTACAGTAAGACAATTAATGTTTTTGTATAGGTTTTCTAAAAATTGTATGTTTAAATACACAAATGAGGCAGTATCTACTTAAATATGCACTGATTTGCATACCTTTCCTGCACAGAAATCTGAACATTAGATTAAGCCAGGTTCGAAATTCTTGCTTCATTTTGTGTGAAATATTAGAGTTAAGGGATTTAACAGAGAGAATTTTGGATAGCTCTTTTCATCACTCCATGATTCAGAAAATACTGTCAAAATCCAGAAAAAATGTTGGGTTTTTTTGCCATGTTTTTAGGAATAAAATGTTATTTAAATCAGATTTTGAATAATATATGAACAAACCCCTTTGCAAAAACTTAAGAACTTGGACAGAAATAAAAATGGAAAGTTTCTAAGTGCTACTGAAATGGAGACTTCAAACTCAGAGTATGAGAAAAAAACTTATTTTGAGGAAATGGCCTTTAAAGATATGTATTATATGTAAGAGACAATAGGGTAAAAAATTTAAGTAACAGATATCACCATGAAACTTCCCCAGTTGATTACTTACATTTAGACAATTATTTTTTGTATTACAAGTTTACACATTATCTCAAAATTAAGCATTTTGAAAACAGAAATCTGAACAAAAAAAACCTTTCCACTAGTCTGGAAGAAGACATGTTTTGAAAGCGAAATAGCCCAAAATCTCAAAATTGACCAGCGCATGAAAAAAACTGCAGGCAAAGATTAAGTGAATAAACACCATTTTAGGTTATGGTTTTGCTATCTTATCCAAAAAGTGACAAGGTGACGTAATGTGAGCCAACACAAGTGCGCATCAGACCCACAACAGTGACGTAGGATTTAAGGCTCCCATATCAAATACTAAGTTTTTAGGGAGTCCCACGAAAGGATGTATGTATGTATGGACAGAGAGATAGATGCATGTCTGTGGAGAGAAACGGACTGGTAGATGAATGGATGTAATAATGGACGGTTGGATAGGTGGATGGATGTGGTTGGACTGGCAGACAGGTGGATGATGAATAGATGGACTGCTAGATGCACAGATGAAAGTATACATGGACATATGGAGGGATGGATGGATGGACAAATAGGTGGATGGAGAAACAGGCAATTAAACGGGTGATAAAAATGGATGTATGGATGATGGACAGGTAGATGGACAAATGATATATGGACTGACAGACAGACAGATGAGGTGATGGAAAAACAGATGGATGTATGGATTAATGAACAGTTGAATGAACAGATGGATGGACGAATGGAGACCTTTACCAGCCTCATATCGCTGTGATGAGTATTGTTTTCTCGTGGCACAGCCTTCTTTTTTATAGATCCTGATATTTCGAGTCACTCCTGCAGCCAAAGTGACACGTTGACATTTCTATTTGACATTTCTGCCGCCTCACACTGCAAATTGCAGTATGAGACGATCAATACAACCCGCCTTGTAGTTCCACTCTCGCTGAATGAGCAGTGATGCTTCATTTATCGAGGCTCTTCGATGGCTACACATTCAAGTTCCACCGCCAAACGACTTCACCCAGCGAGAGGCGATCACTAACAGAGACCTGGACGTTTGCAAATTAAACACAAACTAAAGGACATGTGCTGAACACTCAGGATCTTATAAATCAAGAGGTCATGGGTCAAAACTCTTACTTTCCTCAGGACACTTTAACTAGTTTCCCATTTATTTATTCATTCACGGTTCAATTATATTTTCTGTAAATCTTACCTCACTTTATTACATCCTAAATGTTGTTTCAAAGCCTTTTCTACATTGCAAGGTATATAATTGTAGTGGGAATTACTAAATACCTTTTGATTTATTTAGTTTTTTGTCCAAAAAGAGTCCGAAAAGGTCAAAACTCAACAACACTTGTAGTATAAAGACCAGTGGTGGAAAGTAACTGAGGCCTTGTTCAGACTGCCAGGCTAAAAGGCTTTTTGGTACATCCAGATTGTATCTGATTTTAGAAAGTCTGGACAGCAAAGAACATACGAAACATAATTTTTGCAAACCAAACCACATATGGATTTCAAAGTGTCTTCTGTGTTACTCGCGACTCGACACACTAGGACAATGTCCAATCCAGAATGACAGAAGTGTTGAGCAGAATCTGTGCTGTTCCTACCACATTGCTATGGAGGACAAAAATCTGGGGACAGTCGCCAAAATAAATTCCAGTAATTCAGTCATGGCTAGTAGGTAACCCTAGCTTTCTCACAAGCTACTTGAAAATACTTGAAAATACTTGAAAATCAGTTTTATGTTGTGACAACACTGTGGTTGAAGTCTGGTTAGGTTTACACACAAAAAGCACTTGGTTAGAGTGAGGATAAGATAATGGTCAAGTTTAAAATGATCACTTGAAACATGGAACATGACATTTTCATGAATCTGTGCCAAATTTGTAAAGAACAACACTTTGTTTTAGAGTACAGTGACTTTTCAGCACAGAGCCTTTATTTTGATGTGCCATTTCTGCTGTGGAGTGAGTGACTAAAGTCAGCAAACTAGCTCAACGACACGGACAAACGCAAGTATGATGCTGAATGTATTAATCTGCAAGGCCTCGAACTAATGACTAAGTAGAATTCTGGACCTGTGGCTGGACCAGTTGGGAACCACTGCTCAAAACTATAATACATGGTTACTGGTTCCCAATCTTTTTGACTTGTCACTCCTATAATAAGTCGGTGTCTAGTCGGGTATTTTGTCACATTTCAAATGCCTATGAGGTGTTAACAGTACCACCAAAATAGATTTTTCCTCTTGTCTCAGACGGTTTCATTTCAATAAGTCTGAGGTCCACAAAGGGAAAATGAGCCAACCACAAAAATGCACAGGTCTGGGAAAAGTTAAAAAATGAAAACCAAATTTGTGTAACAGATTTTTTTCTCTTCTCTCATTTATCATCTCATAACACCTCAAATTTATCTTGCAACCCCTCAGACAGGACCAGATCCCTCAGGAAACCATAACCTGACTGACACTGAGGATTTTTAGACCAATGCTGACATTCTTACAACACTTAACCAAGAGATGTACTGGACAGGACATATTACAGTTGAAAAATAAACTTCTGACTACACACTGGTGGACAAACTATACAATAGAGACACTTCCAAAACATATCTTAGGCCTTTCTGTACTTCAGTTTCATATGCATCGATACAAATACATTTGCGATAAGCTAATATCATCCAATATATCAACTTGGCTCTACTGAAAACCAGTGTACTTAATGACTGTATATAAAATAGTTAAAACACCAGCGACCAGTACTACTTACACACTGGTGCAGAAGGAATAAATATATAATAGTGTAATATAATAATAAATCAGTCAAAGGGGGTATTTTTCTCCATAATGTGTACTTTTACTTTTGATACTTTAACCACAGCTTGCTAATAATACTGTACTTAAGGTGGATTTTGAACGAGGGACTTTCCTTCTCCGTATACTTTGGAAGTAGGTGAATTTGTGGCAGAAAGTCCCCGCCTAAAAACAAATGTTTGGATATTTGAATTAGCTTCTAAAGAAACAACATACAAGACATGTGCATCATCATATAATGTAAAACTGCTCCATATTCATGTATCACTGAGGGCCCAGTGTTGAGAGTGGTAGCTGCACACACGTGAGGATGTGACTGTTCAAACAAACAGGCTCAATTTTCTCCATCATCTATACATCGAGTGAAACAAAGATCGTCCACAGACAAAGAGACACACAAACACACAGCTTGGAGGGGGAGTATATGTTCCTGTATTCATGTCACTGCACAGCTGATGGCACAAATCACCTGTGAAGCTGCTGCAGACTCACAAACCGAATCTGGGTCATTTGTATTCAAGTCTTTGTGTGTGCTTGTCATGTCACGACTTCCCATCTGTCTGAGTGTATGGATGGATGCTCACATCTTCCTCCTCCAACCTTTGTATGCATGGCGAGCAGACAGTTATATGTGATATTTTGCTATGGGTGGAGCCCCGCATGACCACTGACCTATATATTGGCACACTAAAGAGGTGCCCCGTTGCCATGGCGCCAAGAGTAGCCAGATGCGGGAAAGAAACGATGAAGGCTAGCTATGGCAAAAGTTCTCATTTTGAGAGAATCTGAGTCGGCCGTGTTGAGTTTCAGCTGTCAGACAGATTCTCCGGTTGTTGTTGAAAAAGGCAGGGAAGTCCCTCTGTGATTTGATAGAGCTGTAAAATACCTCGACTATGGCAGCTTCCCTGACAGCTCCTATGAGATGCCTGGTGGGGTTTTGTCCTATATACGCCATGTTCACACAAAGCTGCCTCTGCCGCTGCTGCTGCTCGCATTAAAGACAGAACTCGCCATCAAATATTCAACAGTTCACATGGGGGGGAACACTCAAGCCTGCCTGCATGACTGCTGCTGGAGGAGAAGAAGAAGAAGAAGAAGAAGAAGAAGAAGAAGAAGAAGAAAGTAGGTTGGGTCTAAAAATCCCCATCACATGCATGAAAGTGCTACATGTGTCACGCATAAACACTGTAGACATGATCACAGATACGCTGACACACAGAGCTGAGCTGTGGCTGTCTGATACTGCTTCATTTTTCAGCAGAATGTCACTCTTTGATACTGTGTGTGTGTGTGTGTGTGTGTGTGTGTGTGTGTGTGTGTACTATTTCCCCTATGAATAGCAGGGGAGTTGAGGCGCACAAAGGGAGTAATTGTTCTTGTCTGAACACCACCAACAGTCCACTGCTGTGGCTGCTGCACTCAGAAAGGCGAAGCCAGAGGAGGGAAAAAAAAAGGACGACTAATCCATCATCTTCACCAGGTCTCACCGTGACAATGAAGCACTGACACACCATTTCACTGCCGTGAAGGATTCATTTTGTTTAAAGCACGACTGACGCGCCTCAGCAGCTTTCAAACAAGACAGAGAAAGTTGTTCAGACTTTTTTTGGAGATAATTGGTCGAGGCCGAGGAGAGTGTAAGTGAGAGACTGCAGATAGAGTCAGTCAGTGTAAACAAGATTACCCAGAGAGGCAAAATGTCACACAGAGAGCACAAAGACTGGCTTTGTGGGGGTTTGAATTGGAGGTAATTTAGATGGAGATCAAGGATTCTGTTGATTAAACAGTCTCTTATTCTACCAGTCAATACACAAATTGATTAAACATTCAGGTAATTGATGTTTGAACATGTTCGTCACTTCAAAAAAAGTCAGATGAATAAGGACTATTATTAGAATGATACAGGAAAACTGTAGGTAACTTAAAATACAATTAAAAAGTGGGTAACAATGTACTTTAAATCCCCCTTTTTAGCAGTTATAAGCAGTAGACAATACAGGTAATAAATGGTTTAAAAATGATTTATGGTTTCACGATTTTATGATATAGGTTTTGCTGACGTTAAGCTATTCTATATACTTTATTTTCATCATATATTTTTGTATTTTAATTGTATTTAGATGTGATTTTTTTTCTTTTACTGAATTGCCTTGTTGACCTGTTTTATGTCCATGTCTATATCCATTAAAGCACCCAGTGCATGTAATTCCCTTATTGTAAAGTAGTTTGTGCTGCATTTCCTGTATGAAAGGTGATATATAAATAAAGCTTATTATTATATATTTATTATTTCTATCATCAATTAATCTGCTCAACAGCTTTTCTATTCATCATTTTGTCTATAACTGTGAAAAAAAAGTGAAAAATGCCTGTTATAATTCCCCACAGCCACAGCTGATGTATTCAAACACCTTGTTTTATTTGACCTACAGTCCAAAAATCCAAATCTATTCAGTTTACTGTTATATATATGACAACCAAACGAGTCAAATCCTCATATATGTAAAGTATTTTTGCTTGAGAAGCGACTTCAACTATGGATCAGCTATTAAAAGAGCTGACAATTAATTTTCTTTCAATCTCTCCATCAATTTATCAACTAATCATTGCAGCTATATTTGTCAGCAAGTGTAAGAAATGTATTTTATTGTGTTTATTACTTTGCAGTATTAGCCAGCAATCATAACTTCTTATATGAAGACATATATTTTACGAGTACAACTGTGCTTTTACTATATTGCCCTTCAAAGTCCATGTGGGCCTCAACCTATAGGTGTCAGGAGAAGTTTAAGTGGCTCACTAATACACTAATAAATTGTATACAATTTATAAAAGACGCTATACAACTAGCCTATATTATAATATGCTATAGAAACATTTATGACATATTAACGTGCTGCTTATAGGTTTTAAATAGGGGGTGTGTAGGACACTTTAAAGTCACTGCTCAGCAACAGACAAGTCTTAACGGGGGGTGATTTTGTTTGTCTTCCAGGTGCGACACATTGTCTCTTCTCACAATAGAAATGTCTAAATTTAGAAAACCCTTGTGAGATACAGAGACTGCAGACACTATGATTTCAATGGCATGAGGGATTCACTGCACAGAAATAACAGGCTGCATACAGCACATCATGTCACAGAGGCCTAACAATAAAATAAAATGACTGCTCACCGTTACACCACTGAAACGGGTGCATCAATGCACCAGAGGGAGTCCTTGCCGGCGGGATCCGATTTGTGTTTACCAACAAGCCGCAGCCGCTCGTGCAGATGGATGACCGCAATAAAGTGCCCCGAGCAGAGCCAGAGACTGTCTGCCAGCAGTGTGAGAGGTGAACCAGACAATGGCACCTGCAATAAAAAACGGATTTAAAGGTGGATAAAAAGCGTTTGTGTCGGAAGTTGCCGCGGGCTTGTGTCACATTGTTGGGTTCATCCCTGCAGATGGAAAAAAAGGAGACACGGTGATAGAGATTTTCCTTCTTCTTCTTGTCCTCGCTGTGGCTGTTTTGACTCTGTTATTATTAATAGACGGCATAACACTGACCCAGCAGCAGCATCTGTGTGAGAAACTAGAGCACTGGCTGTATCTGCCTAGTCCCGCCCCCCGCAGACGCGACTGACGTGCGGGGAGACCAATGGAGAGGCCGGCTGGAGCTGTGTGTGTTGTGACGGCCTGGCTGGGGACTGCGTGTGTTTTCTGTCATCATCTCCCATTTCCTTATGCATAATGTGTCTTACAGGCTAATTAATAGCCAAGACTTTAAAAAACACTGAGAGTCCTCTCTCCTACAGGGCCGGAATACACCTCTGGGTGGGCCCTGGGGTGAAACTTACTTGTGGGCCCCTTTTCTCCCACCGCTTTCTATGCACTCTGTAGGTGACAACGTAAAGCCGAAACATTTAGGGGCCGCACACATGCCCTGTCTTTAACCACCTGGAAAACATGAGGTTGGGCACTGGGCGCTATTTTTGTGCCTTTTTTTGAGCCAGCTTTCAAGAGCGTGGCGGCAGCTTGTGTCTGAGTTTGCAAAGCAACCTTACCAAGCATCGTACCATAGCCCATTTACCCTAAATCCTGAGTGCAGAGCTGATCTTCTTCCAGGCGCTGTTTCAAAGTGTGTGGACATATCGTACATGGGACAGGGACGTACATGGGTTCCAAAAGTCGAACTCTGCTTATCAGGGGCTAGGGAATGCATGCGTGCCTTTTTGAAAACACTGAATTTGAGGGTGCAAAAAACACGGCATGTGTATGTCTCCTTAGGGTGCTTTCACACCTGCCTTGTTTGGTTCGGTTCATTTGAACTCGAGTTCATTTGCCCCCCTAAGTACAGTTTGTTTGGGCAGGGGTGAAAACAGCAATCGCACTTGGGTGCCTCTTGTCACCTGCTCAGTGTATGAAGGATGGATTGTATTTCTTTGTCGATGAGATGAACCTGAGAGCCCCTGAAATGTAATAATTACTAATAAACTAACCCAAAAACTGACCCTTTTTTGGCTACTACTGACTCCAAGGTGAAGAATGACCTTTTAATGCTCAACTTTAAAACTTTTTTTTCCTTTAACACAAACCGATCTGCAAATATCACATTTATGCCCTTTTGATTTCAGTTCCTGTTGTGCATTAGTAGGACACAGTGTTACCAAACAAATAAGCAGACTGCAAAGTGTATTTCCCCACATGATAGTCTAAGTGCTGTTTCAAAGTCAAAGGGTAAAATTCCAGCAGAGGAACATGAATGAATGAATCCTTTATTTGAGACTGAGGGTTCTCTCTTGACCTTGGAAATACTGAATGGACAGTGTGTTGTGAGACTGTTTGGCCAGCTGCCATTTCCAAGGTCAACAAAAAACTCTCAATCTCAAGTTTTAGATGAAAGCTCCGTCCATGTAAGTCTGTTGATGAAGATCATGTGGCATGCCTGAAAGCTCCAGGACAGCTACTATGGACCTTGTAGTGAGATACTTTGGTCAAATCCTTTACTTCTTTATTGGTCTACATGTAGTCAAATTCAAATATATTGACAACCTGTAATAATCTGTAATATCCACCAAATGTTGGTCTTTAATTGCAGAATGCAAACTCCCGTGAGATTATTTATATTATTAAAACCTCTAAATATCCATAAAAAATACAGATGACATGACCCTTACTGATCTCAATGGCAGAAACACTAAAGTACTGGACAAAATGAACCCCCTAAAACACACCCACACACTACCTTTCCCTTTATCCATCCATCAGGATGCTCTTGTACAAAGGCGTTCATCTCCAAAATGAAAAATATCTGACTTTATTTAAGCAAATAAGCACTTTAAAAGAAATAACAGCATATACAAGTATTTGTTTAGAGGCCCAGCTGTTGTTAAAACCATCATAGGCCGTGTAAAGTGCTGTACATTCACAGAGGGACACACACGACGGGGAAGTTCAGAAGAAGTAGAGCTGCTCATATCCTGTGAAGTTTGCAGCATAGACAGGCGTGTCGTTGTAAATCAGTGACGAGGCCTCTTCCTCAGGATTGTCAAAGTGATGTAAACTTCTCCTTCCTAAACAAAGCAGAAGTGAGATGCATGTGATTAGAGCAGGACAGAACTGAATAGATGAATCATGTCAATGGGAAAACGGGGCAGGACGGGATGTGGAATTCCTCAATGGAATGTTTGTGGTCATATCTTTTAATCGTTGTTTTGTTTCTGTAAACCTAATGTGTTATTCGTGATCATCTTTTTTCTCTCCGTCTATCACAGCTGATTTAAGATCTCCTTGGGTTTCTTGTTGAATCCAAAATCATGGTATATGTAACTTTATATTGCATTATCAGTATATATACTGTGACACTGTAAATATTCAATAAAATCAACTAAGAAACTGACAACAGTTTAACAAAATCTCTGACAGCTGACACACTTATATTGTCTTACAGTGTGTATCCTGCATCCTCAAAAGAGGACATCCTGTTTTGGCTTTGCTGCACCGTATAATTCACTCTGCTTAACTTTGACCTGTTGTCCTTGTTTGTGGACACTTTTTTGTGCTAGTGGTAGTAAAAACATAATATACTAATACATGTAAAAACAAGATGGCAGCCTTCTCTAACAAGTCAGTCTGCAGCTGATCCTGACACAAAAGTGGACAAGGTCCAAAACCTGTTTTTGCGCAACAATGTTCAGGCATTGAAATAAACAGTTTTAAACTTTAATACACACTTGTGACAATTAAAAACAAATTGAAAGGATATCGTTTTTTATACTTATTAGATCCTACTGATCTCAAATAGCTCAGAGAGATTAAAATTTGCACACCAAACAAAAGCTGAGGGTCTTAGGAGGATATCCCACAACCATAGTAAGAATCCAATGATATGATAATTACAGATTATTACTGATAAAGTTAGTAATCTTACCTTCATTGACAAAAAACTCAGCCAGCAGAGAAGATAACTGCACAGCGTGAGCGGAGTGAGGAAAGTTCAGCTTTCTGTTCCACTGAAAACGATTCACCTCTGGGTGCCACTGGACTCCATAGAAAGGATATTTTTTACCTGGTATACACATATGTTACTGTTGTTAAAAGTTTGTCATAGAGCAATGATTATAAGTTTGTCACATGAATATAAAAATAATCTTGTAACCTTCGATAGTCGAGACAAACTGGACTCCGTTCTCAGCAACGTTTGTAGACAGCACAGAGAAGAAACTCTGCAGCTTCTCGTTTTCATGGAAGGTCTGAAAGAACATTTTACACTTATTACAAGTTGTGGTTATTATTTATGTGTTACCTTTGATTTATTTAAAGATATTTTGGTGCTTTTTGATAGGACATAGAACCAAGCAAAAGGGCCGCCGCCGCAAGGACACAGCCTTTGTACACAGGGTGCCTGCTCCAGCAGGTGAGCTAGTGGGCGCCCCTTTATTGTTATTTTAAGGCTCCATATTGTATGTAATATTCTACCTTATTAAGGTTATTTAACTATAAAAAGCATGTACTCCTGTTCTCTTTTTCATGCTGTGACAGTTGAATGAAGTTTATCTCATCTATCTGTCCTCAGTACATGGACAGATTTATGCTCTGTGGAGCCCCAGGGCAAAAACACCCATATCTCTGTGCACCGTGTACTGTCTTCCTGTGCTAGAATATTAAATAGCCCTGTTGTGCTGTGTGGTAATTTGATTGAACACAAATTAATTTAGTAATATGCACCTTACAAGCTTATTATCAGCTGAAACTTAGAAGACATAATTAATCAAATTACCGCACAGCAATTGCCACACTGTGCACCAAGGCTTTTGGAGCCCTTTGGGGAAGTAATACAACCTCAACTACAGCTTATGCAGAAGGTGAAGTAATGGTCATTTTAATGAATGCAGGTTGCTTTAATATACATTTATGTCTGCACAGCATGTCTCATTAAGGTCCTTCTGGGTCAAAAGTTTCAGTCATGTGTGACCTGGGTAGCATGATGTCTCTATTTTTATTTCTCAGCACAATAACATAAAACCCCAACAGGAAGTGAAACGTATAGTACAATGACTCTGATCACCAGAGGAATCTACTGTACCTCTGCTGCGAGGCCATAGTGGTGAAAATTGCCAGTCAGAGGCTCCCGGGTCAGAGCCCTCATCAGCTCGTCTGGGAAACCCTCAAACATCCTACTAGAGCCGGCCTCTGCAGGGAGACATATATATGTGAGGAAACCAGTCAAACTTATGAGACTTCATTAAGCAATGACATTTTAACGAGACAAACACACCCTCTGATTTGTAACTTGCTTCTACTGACACCATGTGGTATGATTCAGTACATGCAGTTCTCCAGAAAATGTTGCCAAACAATGAAATAATCCACTTTATCTAGACCGTATCATTTATCTAGAACAGATTGCTTAAACACCACAAATAGAAAATATACACATAAAGACATCAACAATAATGCAGTAAGTTCCAACCTTCTGTTAGGTTGAGGGGCAGCGCTAAGTTCTCAGCTGTGGTCTTTGTGAGCAGATTTTGACCAGCCACCAATACGGTCAGAAGCTGCATACCCATGCATGTGCCCCAGATGGGGAAGAAGTCGCCCTCATCGTTTGCCTGAAACACACAGAGTCAAAATTTTTACTTTTTTGTGTCTGAAACTCTTCTTCACATTATCAGGACAAAATCTTGTTCAGGCTGTTGCAGAAAAGTTTACATTAAAGTAAATGTCCTGCATTAAATGTTTTATTATAGGCAAGTGTATCATGATATTAAGAATGAACTACACTTTAGTATAGAATTCTTTTCATTGTCAGTGCAAAGCTTGAGTCCTTACAGATCATTTAGTCACTGATGGATAATTGATAGTAAAAATAGTTTAAAGTTAGAGCTGGTTAAATTTCACTTATTGCCAGTTAGTTTAAAATTCAGTATGTCTTATGAGCTTATTGTATGTTTTACTAGAAAACTCAAAGGATGCAAAGAAAGCACAATAGTGGTAATCGCTTAAATGCAGTGGACTAAAAAGTTTAATTAGTCACTCAATCTTAAACTTTCATGTTAAATGTGAGGTTAAAAAATTGTCTACAAAATGAAAATACTTAAGATAGGTGCAACACAGTCCCTAAAACAGTATTTAAGCACAATACTTAAGTAAATACACTTGTTTCTGTGCTTTTTAAAGATTCAAAAGACATAATAAACAGGAAAAAGATTTAAAAAGGAAGATGCAAATAAATAATCTGTTGTACAAACCTTTAGAGCAAATGTGTAGAAAATCTTCGCCACCCTGGCAAAGTCTGACGTCTCCAAATCTGCTGCTCCCCCGATTAAGAGCAAGCTAAACGGACATCACAGTTAGAGTGTAATGAGTGCATTTATTTAGGATAAATTCTCCTTTAACACATTTATAGGGCTGCAGCTCACCCATTTATCTTACTGAAGATATCCTCATATTCAGCGGTAGTTAGAGTCAATCTGTGGACAACAAACAAAATTAAAAATGCTTCCTTTACTGTGCTTTTGTACATAGTGTGGACTGCACGAATGTCAAAGGTGACAGAAAACCCACTTCTTCTTCTTCCACAAAAGCAGCACATGTCAAGAGACATACCAGCAGATAGAACCACAGGTTAACATCCAAGCAATGTCATTTACAGGTCTAAATATGCTGCTTCCTTACATAACTCAATGTTAGTCTGATGCTACTGTCTAAAATGTTCCTGTGTACATTTTTATGCTACAGATTTAAAAAATGGGCGTTAATAGGTAGAATTATCATGAATTTCATCCATTATTGGCAGTTTTTTTTGCCACCTGCTCACTCACACTGACAGATCATACAGCACAGAGCTCCAGGTAAATATATATGGTCCATCTGTACTGATACAAACGTTAGAGGACTCAACCCACCTGATGGGCATCACCCTGCTGCCCCCAGACTCAATGAATTTCACATATGAGGCAGGTATGAACGTCCTCCCAAATGGTTTCAAGATTTCATCTGTGACTATCTGAGTCAAAACACCTGAGGGACAAAATTCAACAGTGTTACAGTTCAAAAGAAACTCTCCTTTTTAAATGTTTGTATCACCTAAATTCTCTTTATCTCTCTGTTTTTTTCACTCACCGATCACAGGCCTGTCGTTCACAGCCTCCTGGTTGACTTTAGTTGGCATGGCTTTGCTGCAGCAGAAGCAGCAGGCAAAAAACAAGCACACATATGCTGAAAATCCTGTAATGGACATGTTTTCACCTCAATGTCCAGCAGCCAGTCGAGGCTCTATCAGTATTTGAGAAGGTACGAGGCTGTTTATGAAAGAAGCTGCAGCACACTTATATGTGAGTTAAAAGAAGGAAGTAAGGACTGCCCAGATTTACATGTGATTGCTCTCTACTGCACATGCCGGTCAGGCAAGTTGACTGCTGACATAACATAAATATTGTGCTGACGATACGGACTTTTTGGTAAAATTTTGATCGTTTAGAACGTGGGAAACGATCCTAGCTTCATTGTCAATGGAAGATTTTGCAATAAAGTTCATAGAAATCACATGTGAGCATGTGATAAAGCAACTCTTCGTACACTCTTCACACTAGTGTTCAAAGTGCAGTCAAACAGGTTTCAGTCTGAAAATGAAAGCAGGTTTCTATTTATAGGATTTTAAAGGAGGGGAGCTTATTGCAGACACGTGCACAAACTGTGAGGCCAAACTGAGGCCAAACTGTTTCAGAAGGGTTTGTTTCTGCTGACAACGACTGCAGGAACATCACTCCAGGGGTTTATGTCTATTTTAAATCAATGACTGAATGACACTGTTTAAAAAATCTACTTCATTCCTGGTAAGCATTGTGCACATATCTTCATAAGGGCAGCAAAGTGGCAACTCACTGATGCAATACTTAACAAAAAATGTGGTGAAACAGTCACTGTAAAAGATGTGGTTTCTACACAGTTGGGTAACAGAAGGAGGCAAACAACTGAGGACATTTAATGCAATGACTGGGACTGTGAGCAGTGTTGGAGTGTAGTGAACTACATGTAATTAAACAAGTAGTTCAACTACATTTTGAAGTAGCTTGCTGGTAGTTCAACTACATTCATGTCTCTATAATGATTCATTCATTCTTTTTCTGTAACACTTATCCTGTTGGGGGTCGGGGAGCCTATCCCCGCTGACATTGGACATGAGGCAGGGTACTCCCCGGACAGGTCACCAGACTATCACAGGGCTGACACATAGAGACAGACAACCATTCACACTCACATTCACACCTACGGGCAATTTAGAGTCACCAATTAACCTGCACGTCTTTGGACTGTGGGAGGAAGCTGGAGAACCCAGGGAAAACCCACTCTGACATGAGCAACACAAGAACACGCAAACTCTGCATGTGGGGGTTCAAATCCCTCACCTTGGATTCGAACCAGGAACCCTCTTGCTGTTAGGCAACAATCCTAACCACTGTATGCCGTACCGCCATAATGATTCTGTAGTTAACTTCTGAAAATAACCTCAAACAGTTCTGGGCCTCAGCAGACTTTTTTTTCTCCATTTTGTTTCACCATTGCTTTTCTACTGTAGTTGAACTCCCTTTCACCACAATTTGTCAGAGGTATTGATTATTGCCATTTATTAACAAATGTTCAGAGTAACTTTTAGAAGTTACCTGGTTAACTGAGTAATCCCGTTTGCTGTAATACTCCCACCTGAACTCTAGTCTCTGAAGGAAGTAGTCTGACTGATGGACACTGTGTACAAAACCAAAGCTGACATTCCCTGCATTTACCCAGTAATAGTGGGGTATTTAATTTTTTGGTTCATATATGACCTGTGAACAAGTGAGCATTTTTTTAAACTGAACTGAGTGGCATTTTACACAGGCATGTGACTTTTTTGTATTATGTTTTAAATTTAATTTGAACTAGCTTTAGTAAACCAAACTAGATTTCTTCCTAGGTTTGCTTTGCTGCAGTTCATCTTCCTCCAGTGTGATATAGTTAGAACCTGTGCTTTCAAAGTAGCTTCCCAAACACTGGGTGTGAAATGGGGTTGAAAGCCAAAAAAAGAGATTGAGACATGTGGGGTTTTTTTTGGGGGTGAATGTAAGTGCACATCTAGTATTTTTAAGACTGTGTTTACAGCAAATGAGTCAAACATATATAAGCCTGAGATCCAAATAAAATACTACATTTTGGAGACAATAACTTCATAATGTAAAATTAATAATTTTGGATCCCAGGAGTTACAATGACCAGTCTGTCTGTCTCAGGTAATAAAATGCTGTTTCTACCTCCAAGTTAAATCCTGATGCATCAGTAGAATAACTTGAATCAGTACAAATGTGCATAAAGTCACCAGTGTGCTCATGGTGGTGCACCAGCGGGAAACAACACAGGCTCAACAAAACCTTCCACACAGCTGGTGGTAAAAACCTGCAGAGTAGCAGTTACTGTAGTGATTGTGCAACTTTTGTTTTTCCAGATCTCGTCTTTTTTTTCCATCAAATATAAAAATACATGCAAGTCTTTGCACCAACGCTGAATTACCAACAGGGCAAAGTGGGAAACTGCCTCAATTACAGACCTCCAGATGCCCAAGGAGTCCCAGATTAAAATGCATGTGAGCTGAGATTGACAAATTGATGAATTTATTGCACCATTAAAGACATATGAACAGGTCCTGCATTATTGGCGGATGTTTTGAGTATGCTTTGTAGAGGATGTAACACCTTTTTGTCGCCCAGTTTATATTGTGTTCACATGATGCATATTCCTTAATAAAGTTTTGTTTGATCAACACACAAAATCTGAGGCCATTAAATGTTAATTCTAATGTAGCACTGGTTGTTTTGGGTCTCTGCATAACATAAAGCTGCCAAATGTAGTCCGCTGCTGTATTTAATGGTAACTTGGAGGTGATTGAATGAACAGTGCACAGAGGGTGTTTGTCAGAGGTGGAGGGTCAATAGGGGTCATGAGTATGACTTTACATAACTTTTAACTGTTGAATTTTCTCCAGCTGCTTTCCTCCCAAATTCCTAAAACATGCGACTAGATTGGACACTCTAATTACTCGAAAATGTGACTGTTTCTGTGATGTGTCCTCATCATTTGCAGATACTGAGGTCATAGAGTACTTAAGTGGAGAATAACATGGAGTTTGTTACTTGTCTGTCACTGTCTCCAGTATGTATTAAATTGAACCACTAGGTGGAGACAAAGTGACACCAATGATACAAATCCACAGTTTTCCTCTTCGACAAATCATTTAAAACAAAAAATGATGCCCACCAAACCACAGTATGCAATGATCAGTGTTTAATATTTGCAGTATCCAAATATGACTGAGAAAGTCTTTTAAACTGAATTGAAGCAATGACGCATAGTTTATGTATTTAGTTATCTAGAGTTACATCACAAGTCAGGGTTCTTTGCACATGTATGTGTATGTTAGATAAAATCAAAATACTTCATGTGTTATTTTAAAAAAATATGCAGTAAGGGATAAAACATTGCAACATATCACAGCAGTTAACGGTACGCTGACTATTTTCAGCATCAGCCTAATAAACCCACAAATTTCCCAGAGTGCATCCTAACTTTAAAATACTGTCCATTACTGTCATCTCTCATTAAGTCATCAAGATCACTATGATTCATGCAGAGTCTGTCCAGAGTCCAGCTGAACAGCAAAATTAACTGTCTCGTGTAATACATAGAGATTAACACTTAGTTTGGTCCTCTCAGTCAAAGAAAATACTTTCCTGACATCCATGTGAGCAGCAGTCTGCATCTTCAAAAGGTTAAGCGATGAAATTCCATTTCAGTCTTTCTCTGCAAATAAAACACACAAAATACGATGAGTAGGGTTATTTTTTTCTTTTAAATACAGTATTTTAAGTAATAATCACATTAATATTCATACTTTTAAATTCACAGCTGACAAAGAAAACACAGACATCAGAAGTCAGTCTTTGGCTTCTCTCAAAAACAAAAGGTACAGAGATGGTTGATTTTCCATGTTTAACTAGAACACACACTGACATAGGCGCTTACAAATAAATAAATAATAATAATAGTGATATATATAAAAAATTCTAGCAAGTTTTAAATACGTAGTATGCCCACAATGCAAAAATTATCCATTAAAATATCATTATGCTGTATGAGTGTGCTGTGGATGCACACGTTTGTCCCACACTGCAATGTTAAAGGGAAACTGAAGCTCTAGTCGCAGCTGAAAAAATGTAAATAACTTGTGAATGCTTGTACGACACCTCAAGGTAAATCTTACAATATAAAACGCAGCACTGTAAATCTTTAGAAACTCACCTTGGAGGCTTTCTATTTCCTGAGAAACATCGTTACACACAGCAGCCAGCAGCTCTTCCTTTGGCTTCAGTCCATCCAGATAGACTGAAAAGAACCCAGATGGACGTCATTTATATCATCTTTAAACACAAATCTGCTACAGTGATATAAGTTTCACTATTTAACATCACATGTGAGGCCTCAAACACATATATATCATAACCGCTTAGAATAAATCACGGTTTTTATTCCATCAGCATCACATACTGCCGCATCTCACCAATTCCAGACACCATGCTCTCCATCTCCTGCCGGTTTCTTAGGTACATCGGCCACACGTATCCGTCAAAGTATCCTGGAGGATCAGGAGGTGTGTACACCCTCGTACTGTCAATCAGAACAACATACATCATGGAAATAAAATCAATTAAAAGGGTAAAACGAACAAAAAACAAATGGTGTATTGATTATAAAACCTGATACCTTCGTCTCATCTTGCAGACATTGTATGGTATTTCCATGAAGTACCTTTTGCAAAACAGCTCATTCAGAGGCCTGGAAAGGTAAAATAAATGACAAAAACATCACAGTTACAGCGTGATGTGCCAAAATATCACACTACAAATATTAAGACATGCGTTTTTATGTTATTAAAAAAATCCTGGGGGACAGCTAGCCCTTATAATGGAAGATGAAATTACATGAATGACATTACTGAATGATTACTTTCCAAAAACAATTTAAGTGTAAATCCCTGGAACAACATAAATACATTTAAGAGAGGAGAAAATATTGTAATGATTTTGTTTACTTATGTCTGCTATCATGTTTACAACCAATAACTCATGATATAATCCTTGGAAAGTGCATGCATCATTTTTCAGTAAAGTTTTATCTTAATTTCCAGTTAAGTTTCCTAGAAAGAACTGTGCAATTTAGCACTAATTATGAGGAAACTACAATGTTCACTTATTTTAGTTTAGTTAATTGTGTTGAGTTTGTGTTGTTGATTCCCACAAGAATCTCACTGAGAGAAATTCAAACCTTAATATGTAGCCAGTGTCTAAATATTGATGGAAACTTCGTTAGCCATATATGTTAACTCGCATTTTGTCAGAATTTATTATTTTCAAGCCCATTTTCACACTGCGCCAACTGCATTTTCTCTAAAACTAGTACCAAGTTACACACGTTCTTAGGAACTTGTAAAATAAAGAGCAGATTATAAACTGAAATAAACACAGTAACTTCACTGAAGCCTCTCTCGTGTACCTGTGGTTGAAAATGAGGAAGCCCTCCACTATCAGCACATACACCTCCTCACCCACTGATGGTGTCTCTAGCTTCAGGCCTCGCTGCCTCAGGTACGACTCAGGATCTCGTCGCCACGAGTCGATGTCGCTCATCATCGTGTCCATGTGGAGAGCATCGAGCACTGCAACATAATGCAACGAGAAGGATTTTCTTTTGCATTTTTGATGACAGATTAAACATGTTAGTAATTTATCAGCAAACATTCTTTAGTTTGAGCTAGATTTTCTGCTTTTCTCTGTTTTTATGACATTTTGATTTGAAATTGTAATGAATATTTTTCAAGAATTGATATATACAATTAAGATAATTAATAAATGTGGCCCTAAATTTCTTTATATTATTAAGATGTTTAGTTTTATTTATTCTGTTAACTATTTATTTGTTTATTATTCTATGCTTTCACAAGAAGAGGGTCTAAATACTGTTTCAAATACCCTTTTTTCAAATTTGGTGGAGAAATATTACACTTAAATATTCCTTTTTTTGCCTGAAAGTATTCAATTTCACATTGGCTTTACATTTACATACAATTTACACATTTTTACAGCCTCCCTACCAAGGACTTGACCTTAGTATGCTTAATGGTAGCTACGCCCGTGCATCCATCCATAAATCTGTACACCATTTTCAGATATCCATTTACATAACCACAATTTGCACATTTTTACAACCTCCCCAGGTAGCTACAACTCCAAAAATCACACCAAAAATACCAAGGACATGACCTCAAAGTCCTTAATGGTAGCTACACTCTTGTATCCATCCATTCATCCATAACTGTCCACTATTTTTAGATGCATGGATAGATGGACTACAGCTGCACAGAAAATGTCAAGCAAAATAACATGTCCTTACTGTCATATTGCTTAAACCCATTGCTGTCCACAGGTACCACAGAATCATCCTGCAGAAAAGAGCGTCCACTGTCGTCACACAGGCTCTCACATTTCCAGCATATTGTAACTGCGAACGTTTTAAAAAAGCAATGATATGAAATAAATAAATCTACCTTAAAATATGAATCCTGTGCAATGACACAGCTGTTGGGGATCTGTTGGTGTAGACTTGTCGCAAGAGTAGATTTTCCTCCATTGGTCATCCTGAAAGAAAAATAGCGCATATCTCTAAGTTATTATTTGAACACGAGTTACATGAGGAAATATTGCAAAGGAGAGATTATGCTCACTCTCAGGACTACATGTACTCATAGACCTTTTTTCAGGCATCTCTGCAGGATGTGCCTAAGCCAACACTTAATTTGACATTAGAAAAGTTAAAAAAAAATATCTGTGTGCCACTTCTACTGAATATTTATATCAGAATATTTACCTGCATGTCTGTACAATGAACTGATGTCAAAATAAACAAAAAACTGGACTCTGTTACATGTTAAACATGTGTGACTTTTCCTCTGCAAAGAAACCAACTCTTATCAGTCTTATCTGGCACATGGCTGTCACATGCTGTATTGATCTGGTGGCTTTCCTGATGCCCCACTGCATGTATGTTAGCCAGTATTAACAATTAGTTTTATAATAGGAGGCTGATGCATTTGCTGGTGCCGT